CCTGATTTTATTACTTCTACAAGATATTTTAAACTCAAAGTTTCTGTGCAGAACAAAATAGCAAATACAATTTGATTAAATCCATTTCCGGATGAATTCACCTCTCAAGTACGAAATGCTTGAATATCCTTATTCACTGCAGACTTATTGCTTAATCGCAGCTAGGACTTGCAGTCACCAACTTGAGTTTTTATTGCGCCACCCGCCGTCATTCCTTTCCAAAGAATTGCACCGTTTTAGTGCCGACTCACCAATAAAACTGCATTGTGTCTGTGGAAGAAAGGCAAACAAATTAGTTCTGCCCAGACACACACACACACTCAGAGAAAGAGAGGAATAGGAACAGGAAAAGGACCTCCCAAACACACAATGAAGCCTCTCGGGAGTGGGTTTGGCATCAAAATATTAGACGCGTCAATAGCTTTGCACATTTTGCGCTTTTGCATTTCGAAGGCAATCGAGGCGACAAGTTGAACGACATCGAAATGTGGAAAATGGGGAACCCCCCTCCACACACACACTCATGCTTCCCAGTTACATTGCCAATTCAATGGAACAAAAAGTGCAACCAGCTTCGATGACGTACACACATACTCTTTCACTCACTCTATGAATGTGGATGACGGCGGGCGATGTCGCCTGCGGATGAAATGGGAATGTGTGTTTAATGGTTGACATTGTTGTTTACAAATTGACTTTTTGTTGCTGCCGCTTCTGCTCGTCAATAAATTTGCCTGATAATATGCCAACATATGCATAACGTACATAAGTAGCTTACATCCTCCAACCTTCCAACTTACAGAGAGGAAAAATATCGAAATATCGATTTTTGGGTGTTATGAAAAACATAATTAAATGTTTCTGGTTTGTTTAAAATATTCATAAATTAAACAAATTTACCAAATTTAAATAGTATTTTTGAGAAACTATTTAAAAAACCATATCTTAAAATCTACATTAAAAACATATGGTAATTCTCTTGGCTGTGACTCTTCCTCTAAAAATTTAAAGTTAACACTACAACTCTTTAAAAATTCTTATTCAAAAACATAATGATTTTTCTCTTCGTGCAGCAGAACTTCAGCAATATCAACAGCAGCAGTCGAGCAAACATCAGGCCAACGGAGCTGTCCTCACTGGAATGCAATCGCACCACTACGCGGACCACGACCTCCGCTTCGTACCGCCTCCTCCACAACCACCAACAGTAGCAGCACCAACTCGGCAATGGGCGTGGCCGTGGGCGGTGGTGGTGGCAATATTCTACTCGATCAAACGCCTTCCGGTGGCAGCAGCAGCAGCGGCGTGAGCAGTGCTCCAAGCTCCTCAAAGGGGCATCACACCCACTCCCATTCGCATGCCGCCCACCTGGTGCATACGCATGGCGAGGGCATGGTCCTGACCTCCGCCTCTCCCGTCAGTGTCCAGCAGCATCAGCAGCAACATGCACAGCAGCAGCAGCAACAGCAGCAGGTGCCGCAGGCAGCAATGGACGAGATGCGCGTCTGATAGGTATCGGTCTTTGAGTTGGACTTATAGTCATCAACGGGGTGAGTTTTTTTTTATACAATTAATTTAAAGAATTATAATATTTCTGAGAAAAAATATGAGAAAGCTTTAAAGATTTTGTAGTAGTTTTACAGATTTATTATCAGTAGTAATTCTGATTCTGATTCTGAGAGTTCTTTGGTTATCTAATAACAAATTAAACCTATATTATTATACTATTATTGCACATTAAATTACATTTCATATTGATAATTCAATTTAAGTATTAAATGTATAAGTAAAATCATTAAGTTTTTGATTGAATTCTTTATAATATTTATAATATTCTCTTAAAATTTCATATAAAAATAAAACAATGTTGTTTTATTTATTTTATAGGAATGCAGATTGTGTTTCAAACAGAAAAATGTGAATTTCTTGAAAGATTTATAAATTATTCAACTCAACTCATTTGTATCCAAGTCCAGCTTTATATCATTTTCTTACTAACCTGCCTTTATCCCTAACTTATGGCGCCTGATAATCCTTGATATCCTTTTATTCTAAAGGCAACGGTCTCTAGGGATTCAGAGTGAACTCATTGTGATTTTTCCCAATTTTTTTTTCGCATATTCATACCTATAATATTTATTATTCATTTCGCGTCTTACTCCATTCTTTGGTGCAATATTTGTGACGTGGGGTATAAAAGGATACAACGAACTTGGGTCATTGGTCAAGCCGTTTCACGCCGATTTATTTATGGGCTACAAGCACAGATATTTGTTTTCTAAAAATAAAAACTAAAAACTCAAATTTCTGCGCAATTACAAATATAGTCAGAAACCCCCTTTAAAATATAGTTCCCAGCAGCACTGCTACCTACAAAAATGACAATCATGTCTGAACCCTTCACAGGACAAAAGAAGAAAACCAAAGGTCGTGACGGTACATTCCAACACAAAAAAAAAGGTAGAATAAAATATCTGCGCACACAGACTCTGATCAAAAATAACAAACGGCATGTCAAACATGCGGCAACAAAAATGCTGCCTCTTTATTTGATAAAATAAAAAATAATAACAAAAACAAATAAAATAAATATGCACGAAGCATATAACCGAGTTCATGGTTCAAGGTGGACTCAAATGTCGCAGCCACCGGGATGGAAAAATGCCAAAGAGCGGGCGTCCGAATACCGAAAAAAGGGAGAGCTTTAATGGAGAGTTTTCCGCAGGACAAAAGGGCAGCAAGAAAACGACGAATAAAATATAGGTATTAATACCAAGGCAAAGGGAATGAAATTGTAAACGAAATGAAAACTGGAGCCACTAGACCCGGCCATAACAAGTGGCAAGGTGCAAGGCAATTTGTGGCATGCAACTTGAAACCGAGCCCTCAACTAATTTATGAGCCCAGTGTCGGGGACTCTAGAAATTCGAGCTAAACCAAATTAAAACTGCAATGTGGCCAACAACAAAAAAATTGGGTAATTGCATTAACTGAAACCCAGCTGTGACGCACACTAACGCGGCTGTCAACTCAAAGGAAAAACTGAGAAACAGAATTCAAAGTTGAAGTGAAGCAAAAAGTTAAGGCTAAAAAACAGTTGCGGAAAATCGTATAACTTCACTGAGAGTAAGAGTTTTGTAGTGCAACAAACGAAATTTAATAAAAAGTTAAAATCATTATATTTGACGAGAGAGAATTGAGAAGAGGTGTTCAAAATTCCGGGAAAAATTTCTTGTACCTTCCTATATCTATAAAAAAAGAGGCATCAATATAATATATACAATTATACATTAATAATTGGTGTTTCTTAGAATATATTGTTTTTTCACTCCAAGAAATTCTTATTAATTATTTTATCCCGGTAAAAAAAATTTATTCAATATGAATGAAATTATTTAAAATTTTCTGAATTCCCGTATAGATTAAACAAATATTTAAAATATAATTTAGGCTTTTGTATTTATTGCTTCCACATAATAAGCTTCCTAATTTTTATTCATCTTAAAAACGACATTATTTTTGTATTACTACCCCTTTTAAAATACTTAATATTTTCATATACATATATTTTTAAATTGTAATCCTCTTCAATAAGAGCCTGCGTTAAAAAGATCCTGCACTTAAGGATTTTTATCATGTACTTTTCCTGCCCACTTGCAGGCACTTGTATCAGTGCTGCCAAGTTATAACCTCCCATAAAAAGCTAGATTCTGAGCAGAGATAAATTAAAATAAATAAATATAAAAAATAAATGCTGAAAAACAAGACAAACCCAAATACGAAAATGTATAAAAATATAATTTTTTTTTTTTTGCACTTACCCTCTATTTTTCTACATCTTTGCTTTTATCATTGGTCATTTCATGGCTATTTTGTTTTTGCTTCTTGCTTTTGCCACTAACACAACACTTTGAGTGAATATAGCATAGAAAAACGATAATCGAAAATTAAGAAATACGCTGAACTAAAGGCAAACATTTATCCATACATACATACATACATTTTCCTTTACATTTTGATAACACAAAACAAAACAAAAAAAATATTAAACACACACATATGGGAATATTTTTTTTTCAATAAATACAAATTATTTAGGACTTTTCAGTAAGAGCACTCAACAAAAAAAAAAAAACAAAAAAAGAGAATACAGAAACACTGCAATTCAGAACTTGCTTTACATCACTTGTCCACCTTTCCACGGCCATTTGATATAAGAACATATATATACATATGTACATTTGTACATACATATGTATATCTTCTAAGGGAACGCCGCTGACAACTGGAATAGGTGATCACCGCTAAGCTTTTGTTTTTGCTTCTTGCCATATGTTTTTGCTTCTTTATATACTTGGGTGTACACTTTTTGCTTATCATCAAAAGCAGGTACCAAAAAAACTGCAACCACATTATTAAAACACTTCGACATTACAAATACACATATATGTAACTGTATGTATGTTTGTATAGGAATGCATTTGGTTGAAAACTAAAATAAAACACACACGGACTGGGAATATTTGATTGTTTGCTATAATAACACGTGATCATTATCATTAACTCTTTAAATGAATGAAAGAAACTAAGCGCATGCTGAACTTGCGAAACTGCATCTGGTGAGCTTTACCCGGAGAAAGAGAGAGAGAGAGGGAGAGAGAGTATTAGAGAGAGTAAAGTATTACCAGATGATAAAGTGGCCCTCTCTCTGAAAGTTTATTATCAGTGGAGATCTCAGTTTCTCAAATTTCATAAGCTTTTTAATTTTCAAATAAGCTAGGCCTGAAATAAGTTCAACGGGCAACACTGACTTGAAATGTGGGTGTGCGGGCATGTTTGTGTGGGGTCAGAACACTATTTCACCTGGCATACAATTAAATTTGCATTTCTTGCCTTTTTGTTTAACCCACGATGCCCTGGCAGCCTCCACTCTGGTTTCCTTAACTTTTAGCTGATTAACATTTCTGCGCTGCTGTGCTCTTGGCCCTGTGGAAATGCAATTTTCCCTTCCAGCCAAAGTGAGAGCAGGGAGGGGCCCAGGGCAAATGGCAACTTTTATGTAAATTTACACCCACTCACATTCACACATACACCATGGCACACCCAGGCGCATGGCATACACCCGGACACGAGGGCGTGTCGAAGTGTGTATGTGTTAAAAGCGCAATAAACATTAATTTCACATTCTTTTTCCTTGAGCCACTCCACTTCGGGTCCTTATACTTTGTTTAAGTTCTTCCCTCTTCAGTATATTTTTTTGCACTTGGTGAAATTATGATCAAAAGATTCTTCCGTTTCCGAAGAGAAAGAGAAAATGAAATGAAAACAAACGTTCAAGGAGAAAATATCAATATTATTATTTATAACGTATAAAATTAAAAAAGGAACATAACATAAATTTAATATTTAAAATAATGCATTGGCAATTTTCAATAATATAATTATTGTTCGCATCATAACAGCACCTAGCCATGCGCCCCTAGGTGTACCACTGCACCTGTACCGCCTCTTCTTTCTTATTTTACTAAAGCTATCGTGTTATCTATTAAGCTTAACTATTTTTATAAGCTCATGCCCATGAATTTAATTAGAAGCTAAGCTTTCCGATCGCAGTTCCGAATAAAATAATCGAGACATACTTTAATCAAAGCTATTTATGGGTATAATTATTTATTAGCTTAATTATGTTTGTCGTCTTCTCCAAAACATATATTTTAACAATAAATGCGATAGCGGGTTATATATTTCCAGTTAAATTTTGAATGATATTTGGGAACTTTTCATTTAAATCTAACGTGTATTATTAAACCCACCCTTTTTAGAATGTAAACCTTAAACAAATCTCTCAACGATTCACATAAAACTCCTTGATAAATTATAGAATTTGTTAAGCCTGCATTTCCATTAAGTAGTTGGTAGATAAACATAAATAATTGCAATTTACTTTTGTTTGTATTCCCAAACTCAATTTACGTCCTCATCCAACACATTACTAATCAATTGAGTCAACAAATGAAGGAAAATGCTTGAATTTCTCATTGATTTTGCACTTATAATATCATCAATTGAGGTTTCTTTGATTGCCATCTGTTGTGATTTGTTGGTGAAATGATTTGGGGCCTGCGGGGCTGACAAGTTTGCTGTCGAGAAATGTGGCAAGAACTTTAGTAAATTGTGTGCTTAAATTTCTTAACACCACCGTTAGGGCACAATCTAAAAGAGAATCTTGTTTCTTCAGCACACACGAACTCCAAGTCCTCGTGGACCAAATACACTATGTAATTAACGCAAAACTTTCAACTTGCATAGAGTCCCAGAAGGCTTAAAGTTAGGTGGATATGGAATAAGTAGCAGGATCTGTGCATTATAAGGATAACTTATTTAAATTTAGAAATGCATATGATAATATGTCTGCAATGTCACTGAAATTCATAGTTTATAAATAAAAATTACTATAATAATCAAGTCCCAGAGAGTTTAAGGAATAAGTAGCAGGATCTGTGCATTATATGGATAGTGTATTTAAATTAAGATATATATCTGCCTGCAA